TCCATAATATAATAGAAAATTCTTCCAATGTTTCACCACTAAGCATGATACTTGATATATGTATGTATGTATGTGTGTTTATATCTACGTATATAGACACACATATTTTTTTTTTACTTTTTTTAAATTTCAGAATATTATGGGGGTACAATTGTTAAGGTTACATACATTGCCCTTGTTTCCCCTCCCCCCTCAAGGCAGAGCTTCAAGCGTGTTCATCCCCCAGATGGTGTGCATCACACTCACCATGTATATATATACCCATCCCCCCCACCTGCCCCACATCCAACAAATGTTTGTTTTTCTTTTTTTCTTAACATTTTGGTTATATTTTATATCTTTGCCTCTCCCCACACATATGTTTTTTATTAGCTGTCCTTTATTGCATTTATTAGATTGAGAAATGTTCTTTCCATTTTTAGTTTATTGATAATTTTTATAATGAATAGATGTTAAATATTACCAAATGATTTTCTGCACTTATTGAGATGATTATATGATTTTTGCTTTTATTTGATTAGTGTGATTAATTACATTGGCTAACTTATAAATATCAAAGTAACCTTATATTTCTGAATAAAACAATTTTCCTAATATAGTACTAGGAAGGTATATAGACAGATTTTTGTACATTTTTTGTCAAAATTTGTTATTGTTATGTTTAACATTGTGCATCTACATTTGTGAGACATATTGAATATTATCTTTTCTTATAATTTTCTTACCAGGATTTGATATTAACATCATGCTTTTATCTTTCTATTCTCTCCCTTTCTCTTTTTATCTCTTCTTCGCTTCCTCTCTCCCTCTCTTTCTTTCAATATTTGGCTACCATAGTGGGGAAGTTGTTCTGATTGTTCTGATACCAGACACTCCACCATAGCAAGAAGCTGAATTTCCTTCTGGGTCTTTAAATCCCACATAAGAACATGAAAGAGACTTCAGAGCTTTGCAAGATAGAACAATCAAACTAGGAATCCTTCATCAACAGGGGCCCCAGAAGGATCACGGCTCTAAAACATTTAAGAAAATATGGAATCCTTCTCTGTTATGCTTTACATGGTGAAATATTTCTGTGAGAAATAAGTGCCTGAAATTGCATCTCTCCTGGATTTGATGTGACAATATTAACAAAGTGATAGGTCAAACTCTAAGCTTAGAAATCACCATGAAATTGGACTTGTGCTAGCAATATTCTGTGATGATACATTAAAAGCAAATGCAAAACTGTTACAAAAATGGTTCAGAAATATAGGCTTCATGAAATTCTCATATGAGAAAAACAATCCTGGCCTAAAGGTAGTTTAAAAACTAAAGTTACAAAACAGAAAAGGAAACAATCAACCATGAGAATCAGGAGATAGAAATAACTGGAAGATAAACTCTAAGAAATAGAGCCCTTAGTTTCTATTTCTAAGTACCTGAAATAGTTGAGTGAAAAACTGATAGAATTCATATGTTTTAAAAGATTTTTAAAAGAAAGCATTGAAGCTATAACAAAAGAAAGTGACATGGAGTCAAAACAAACAAATAAGTAAACACTCTGGTGGTTTTACATAAAAAATAACACAAGCCAAATGGAGCACATGTGAACGCACTCACACACAGGAGATGTAGTTACTGAATTTAAAACTCAAAGGACAGTTTATGTAGTAGATTGTGCAATGAACAAAGTCAAAAAGTTAGTAGATTAATATATTGACCTGAGGCAATTAATATGTAGCAGAGAGAGAAAAAAAATGTTAAAAATTCAGGAAACAAGTTTAAAAATATGGAGGACTGAATATAAAGGTAGACCATATTCATAAAAGGAACTTGAGAAATAGAAAATAGAATGTCTCTGAATTTTGTAGCACCATAGAGAACCATGAAAGAAATACAAAATGAATAAACAAAAATAAATCCATATGTAGTTGTTTTGTTGTGCAACTACAGAATAATAAAATTAGAAAAATTTAAAAAGCAATCACATAGAAAAGAGAAAATTCACTCCAAAAGACCAACATTCTAATGTTTAACAAATGTCTTGGTAGCTACAGTAAAGAACAGAAGACAATTTAACCATAAATGACACAAAAATAAAATTAATGTGCAATCAACTTATGAATATAAAAATAAAGGATTAGTAAGTTAGTCAAAAGAAACATGAAATAAAGTAAGAAAAATAAGATCACAAATAAATTTAAAAGGAGATAAAGGAAAAATTGAAAAGAAATAAAAAAGCTTTTTTGACAATATAATAAAAATGGGCAATCATTTGGCCTGTTATTAAAAAACAAAAAATACAATGTGTTTTTAAATCATAGAGATTACTTTGAACAACTTTTGGAAATAAATTTAAAATTCTTGATTAAATAGAACATTTTTATAAATTATGCAATTTCCTAAAAGCAGTCCAGAAAAGAAAGAAAACATTTGAATGCAATAATTACCATTAAATAAATTGGGGAAAAATTTGCCTTTAGTTAAAGATGATTTTACAGGCTAATTATAATACACTTTTGGGAAAAACTTATATAAATTATTTGAGGAAACAGATATGGAGAGAAAGTCTCCAGCTTGTTTTATGAGGCAATATAACACTGAAATCCATCCTAGATGAAGGCAACACAACCAAATATTATAGATCAACCTCCCTTTATGAATATAAAAAAATTCTAAGTATGTCAAAAATAAACTGAATATGGCAATTGTTTCTACAATGAAATGTGCAACAAAACAAAAACGAGTATAATGATGATGAAAAATTTTCATAGGAATGCAAGGATAGTTTAATAGCAAAAACCCTCTTCTGTCAATTCCCTATAGTAACATATTAAGGAAGAAATAATGCAAGCATCCAAAAAGATGCATAAAACATTTATAAAATTCATCAGTAATTTGTGATTTTATAAAAAAAACTTACCATTAAGGTTGGAATAAAAGTGAATTCCCATAAAATGATAAATACTTGCCTTCAATATCATGTGGCATTAAGAGCATTTCCTTAAAATCTAGTTATTATTCAGGGTTGTTAATAGAAATCTGGTTCATTTAAAAAGGAAGTTAAGTTTTCAAAAAAGTTATGAGAAACCTAGAAAAATTGTTGACTCCTTTGAGAGCACTTCATTGTCAAATGTTCCTGGTTTGCACAGGAACTATGTTAGAGTACAGCACCTGTTACCTGCTCCATAATCATTTCTTTATTGCAAACTTGATTTTGTAGTTACTATCACTGCATGGTCACAGAAAAAGTGCCATGCTGTCCTTGCTACTTGCTTGTAATTAGTTGACTCATCAAATTTGGCAGAGAGTACATCTGATTGGAGGAAATTAGGCCACCTGAACTTTGCTCTAGTGGCCTAGTGCTAGAAAAATGAACATCTCACATTTTTAGCTTTCATTTTTAAGGATGGTCTCTGCCTCTCACTAGGATTTCTAATAGGAGTGAGACTCAGGTGTTAGCTGGACAAAGGAATGACAAATATACACAATAAACAGGAATAAGCAAGACTGACCACTATCACCCACTGCTTCTCCTCCACACTTATCAAATAGAGGCAGTAAATCAGAAAAAGAAATAACAACCAGATATTTTGTGAAAGAAGAAATGAAACCCTCCTTTTGTACTGATTGTCTATATAGAAATTCCAAGAAAATCTATAGCAACCTTTTTCATTAATAAAATTTAGAAGCTTGTATGAAAACAGATCAGTATACAAAAATTGATGTCTTTTCTGTATCTAGCAATAGCATGTTAAAAATGAAATTTTAGTACATACGCCATTAGCAATAGCAATAAAAACAATTAAATTTATAAGCATAATTCTAATTTATGAGGTTTAAAAACTTTGAAATTTAACATTGTTGCAGGACCTAACAGAAGATCTAGAAAAATAGAAGATCATTCTGATTCCTCTTTAGGCAGAATAAATACTGTAAAGGTAACAATTCTCAAATAAATCTATATATTCAATGTAATTTCATGTAAAATACATAATGTAATTTTTTAGCTATCAAAACTCAAGAAATTGAGACTAAAACTCACAGGAAAAAAGTAAAGGGCCAAGAGTTGATAGTAAAACAAAATTAAATTGTTTGGTTATTTTATCCAAAGAGTTGTACTTATGCTCATACTTGTTATGCATGTAATTAAGAATAAAAGTTACTATGGGCTTTTGATAACCTATTTAAGCTTAAGGCAGTTCCATCCTATTCCTAGTTTGCTGTTTTTTAATCTTAAAAGAATGTTGAATTTTATCAAAATGTTGGGCATCTATCTGTTGAGATAATTACAAGCTTTTTATTTTTCTCTTTTAATAACATAGTGAATAAGTTTCATGTCACTAACCTTTCTTCCATTCATTTGATAAACTCTGCCTTATTGTGATTTTAAAAATATTGATAGATGAGGCTTATTAATTTTTTATAGTATTTTTGCTTCTAATTTGGGAAGTGAGGTTTGCCTATGTTTTTCTTTCTGTTATGGAACTCACCTATTTGGGTGGAGCTTTCCTCTTATTTTGGCTCTCTGGAATGTTGTTTATCAAGTAAGGATCATTTGGCTTTTGAAAGACTGGCAGAACTCAGCTGCCAAACCTTCTGGGTCTGATTTATTGGTATTGTTTTGTGGGTAGATTTTAAGCTACTAATTTTATTTCTTTAATAGTTTAGGTTTAGTAACACCTCCCAGACTCTAATTCCAACAGGTCCCTAGAGATACCACCACCTGTGAAGCCCTCTCATGGCTTTCTAATAGCACCTCCACACTCCTGGCCCCTCAAATAACCTCACTGTGCTAAGAGTCACAATTAGTAATTAGTACTTCAACTTTTATTTCTGGCTGGGCCCTGGAATATTGCCTCTTGTGTAACCTCTTTCAAGTAGACTCCTCTACACTTTTCATACTACTTTGTCTAGGGATGATTTGTGTATATTTGTCAGTCCTGACTGTTGCTTCTAGAAAATGCTCTCTGCCAATAGTAAAATTTAAGGAAAAACCTCATGTCATCAGTATATACCATATACTTTCTGAGATGTGTCATGGTGAGTGAGGATGCAGTCCTCTCCAGGTCCAGGTATTTAGGGCGTTCGTTGTCTGTAGAAAATTTAAAAACAATAATAAAACCAACACAAATGTCACTGTTTTCTATTACCACCATACTTCTGTAGTTCCAAACAATTTCTCAACCCTGTGGTATGTCATTGCATGCTATCCTTTCTTCCTTTCTTTTATTTGAAGATTTAGTTCCTAGCTCATTAAATCTGTTGGTTTCTCCAACATGACCCTTATGTTGATTTTGGGGGGGATTTAATATTCAAGTAGATGATCTTTCAATACACTGGCTTTTCAGTTTAACCTCTGCTTCTCCAATGATTCTGTCTCCTACTCTATCTTAGTCATTCAATTTCACTGCCCTACACTAGTCCTTTACAAGACTAGTAATGGCCACATGTCTATAACCTTATTTCATTCAAGTCTCCCATTCTCTCATAATTATGTCCTACATTTTTAATTCCTTATAATAATTCTATCCAGTCCTACTATTTCTTAACTGTCCCTCAAATCCCTTCCTTCCTTTCTCAATTTAAATTTCAGCCAATCTTTAAAACTACTTCCTACAATACAGTGCATTTAGAGGACTTATTCTCAGATGGACATCCTTCCACCAACAGGTCACAGCTTCTTTGTTCTTCAGTGAGACAATTCTGATGTCCATTTTACATGGATACTCAGCCTAGAAGAACTGAGCCTCAGTTTCCCAAATTGGTAGCTGGCTTAATGACATCCTTTATTGGATATTTTTTACTTTCCTTAACTTATTGTTCTAAATTCCTCACTTCTGCTTCCTAAGATTCAATAACAAATAAACTACCTACACAAAATTTTTATCTCTAACTCTTTCTTCAGGGGAACCCAATTTAAGCAATTATGGATGAATTGTCTGCACTCCTAGCTAAGGTCAATCCCTCCACTTAGATATGAAAACCCATTCCCCTTTTCTACTCAAGCACATTGCTTTGGCAATTCTCCCTTATTTCCTTTATTGTTCCCCTTTCCTTCTATTAATAGATATTCCCATTTTTCTTTCTAGCCACTGTCATTTATTTCCTTAGAGGGAGAGGGCTTTTATAATTAGTATAAAAAATAACTAAGGTCACTTATGACTTCCTTGTTGCTAAATTCAGTAGCCAATTCTCAGTCTTCATTTTTCTTGTTTGCCTCACTACTGTGTGAGCAGAGTTAGGGCTGAATGTATATTTTCTTTCAGCCTGTATTCTCACTGCTTCCTTTGGCCATCCATGGCTTTACCTTGCTCCTGGGAGATGCTCTCTGAGCCCTTAAAATATCCTACCTTGATAAGAATATTTTATTATGCCTCAAGCCTTGGGCCACACTGTATCTGTTTGACCAGATAGTTTAAAAACATTAGTTTAAACTAACAAAGCAACTTATGGTGAATGCCTAATTTTTGTATGCCTAAGGTACCTGAGGGTATAGGCAACTCTATATCATCAGATTGACCTCTGGGGGGCTGAAGACTGAATAAGGTTAGTCATGTGGGCACTATATGCCTAAGTGACTAACCCTCAATAAAGCCCTAGATGTCAAAGTGTGGGTGAGCTCTCTGATTGTCAGTACTTTGTGTGTATTGTCACAATTTTTGCTAGGAGAATTAGCGCATCCCCATGCAACTTTAGTAGGAGGGGACACGGGGAGTCTTGTACCAGGTTTCTCCCAGACTTTGTTTATGTGCCTTTTCCCTTTGCTAACTTGGATCTGTATCCATTACTGTAGTAAACTGTAACCAAGATTATAACACTTTAGGGAGTCCTGTGAGTCCTAGGTAGTCATTGAACCTAAGGTTGTCTTGGGGACTCCTGACACAGAACCAGATATCTAAAACAAGGGTATAAAAGGATTGGGATTATAGAGATAAAAGAAAAGGATTTGAGGAAGAGTTCTTTCGCCAGAGCCGTGATGTGACTTTTACTCACCCCAAGTCTGATTAGAAGGCTCCACCAGAATTCCTAAGAGAACTTAACATGTGTCGCCTAGAATGTGGCCATCACCATGGATCAGTGTCTTACCCTCTCCTGGGAGAATGTCCTGGTCAGTTACCTTGAAGATGGAAGTGAAGATAAAAATTGCTGCTATGCAAAGTTTGGCCTGCACTCCCAGAGTTTGTTTAAAATGATGTAGTCCATGTATGTTTTCTATAATATGTATAATATGCCCCCCCCCACACACACACAGACACACACACACACAGAGAGAGAGAGAGAGAGAGACAGACAGACAGACAGACAGAGACACACAGAGAGAGAGACAGAGAAAAGCAGTGTGGGGTTTTTGTAGGAGGGCTGCCCATAGAAACAAAAATAAACCTCAGCAAAAAGAGAAAATTCTAGAGTCCTAATGGATCAATCTAAGGACTCTTCCTTAATTATATCAAAGAAATTTCAGTTAAGAGATCTTCAAAAAAACTGTAAAATCATTCACCAAACATGTAGTCAACATTAAATACATGCCATGTCTGGGAAGTGTAAAGTCAACTTAACAAAATACCCATAAAGTAAGAACTTTTCTTCCTTTACCTTTGCTCCCTCCCCATTTATGCCTGCTTGGGATGTGATTAAGCACCACCACACTTGGGACAGTAAGGAGAGGGGATGAAGCATAAAGCAGGAAAAGAAGGAAGGACCGCAATCCTCTGCCCTGATATACTGCTGGGTAAAAGTTTGGTGAATAACAGGAAAGGAACTAACTTCAGAATAAGTTTGATTAATTTTAAGACTAGATATTTTTTATAACCGAATTGGGATTGAATTGTCATTAAACTATGGGACTGTTTGTTGCCTAAGAGTGCTGAAAAAAGTTATGGGATAATGGGAATTTTTATCCAGGTACAAGGAAGAAACTTTTTCCACTAAATATATTTTAAAGAACTGTTGGGGGGGGGCATTATTTTACTTTACACCCAGGAGTCTTGCTTGTTTAATATGTCTAACACATACATTGTACATGTTTGTAAGCATATGGTTCAGGTTTCTCCCCCTGTGGATTGAAACAAACTCTTCAACAAGAATGACTAAGGGGGAAAATGCCCTTCTTCTGCTCTGGGTAATATTTTTTAATCTGTTTTCTTTTGCTCTTCATTTTGCAGATCCTTTGCCCTAATTGATCGAGCAGAATCGAGGTCAGGAATATGGAATGATATAGACAGTGTGTATCATAGCTATTTCAATGCGGCCCAGTTGTCTAATTGGCATTTCTTCCCTGCATTTACTGTGGATGCTCCTGGCAGGACCAGAGCATTGAGTTTGCAGAAGGGCCATAGGCCCTGTCAGAGGAGAGATATTTATGCAAAGAACTTCAGGGATTTGCTCCCAAACTCCTTATTTCTTCCTAGGAATGTATGTTCTTCATGAGTAATGCAGCCACTCTGAGCAGTAGAATCAGATAATAATGGTCTTCAGTATAAGGAAGAAGGAAATAATGCTGAAGAGAGAGATTTGACAGTGTGGTACCACATCACATTGTAATCACTGGATTTTTCAGTGGGCCTCAGCAAAGTTAAGTAACATTCTGAAAGATAGGAGCTGTGCAGTTTTTTTTTTGTTTGCTTGTTTTTTTTTAACCTACAGAAATGATCAATGCGCCTAGTATAGTCCTTATCCCATGGAAGAGGTGAACAGGGCCTCTTTTGTTTAGCAGGGTAAACTTCAAGAATCTGCCAAGGCAGTAGAAAACGGTTGGAAGAGAAAGAAAAAGGGTGGCAGAGAGACTGATAATAATCCTAAATTTCCTAGCACTTTTACATGGACCTCTTTTTGGAGAGTGTAGGGTTTTTATACCTGAATACTTATCTAAGCAGGGGTGGGTTGAAGGAGAGCTGAAGTCATGCGGACTGTTTGTGACCTCTACTCAAATACCGGTTCTCAAACTCGATTTGTCAGTGGCAGGTGGGGCCACACAAATAAAATCTGCTTTTAAGTTTAATTATATCAATACAGCCTCAAGTACCACGTTTACATATTCAAGACTGATAGTTGATGGATTTTTCCTATATTAACCATTTAAGTAAGATAATTATTTGCCATTCGGTGACATTTAATTATAATGCTATGACTGATCTACATAGTTTGAAGGGAAAAATTGCTTTATATGTCATTTAAGATTTGTATGAACACATTTAAACTGCAGAAAAGATTGCTTAGAAAAATGCAGAGCTAGCTCCCAAGAGCTCTTGATTACCTTCTGTATCAAGACCATTTTTTAAAAAATCGGCTGTACTATCACAGCATAATTTCAAGGTGACCACCTGTCAAAGAGCTTCTGGGGAAAAAAGGCAAAATGTCTCCCTGTCTTATTTGTGCATTTAGTTTTATAAACATTTCTAATTTTCCAGAGGGTATTATAGGATAAAATTTTAATGGTATGGTAATGGTTAGCAATGAGTAAATAACATGAATTCTCAGTTGATGTAATTTCATTGCTAGGTTTGAATGATGAAGGTAAAAGCTATCATGGAGACTGGAAACACATTTATTAGCAGATGTTCAGTTGTGCAGGAGAGATCTACATGAATAAAAAAGTTTGCCCTACTTGTGTTGAGAGCTCTCAATTTCTTCTTTTCCCAGGAAGTGCATTGTACTTTGGACTGAGTTGAGTCATAATTAAGCTGTGCTAAGAAAACATTCAAGTAAGAATGATTTGCAAATGATCAAATTAGTGTGGGCTTAGCTTAGGGCTTTGCCAGCTGGAGTGATTTCTCTATTATAACCATATGCCTGTTAATAAATTTGATTCAAGTATAAAACAATTACCGATATTTTAGAGACTGGGCAGAGCAATTAAAAACAGATAAGGTTGTTCTTGTGACTTGGTCTTAAAATCAATGAAGAAACTAAGATGATGATGCTAAATGCTACTTGGCTAAAGATTGCAAGATGTGATAAGACAGTTAGCATGCTTTGAATCTAATTGTCTCAGATATGGTATGTTGACCCATCACACAGGGTAGCTTAATAGAGTAGATCTTAAAACACTGAAGGCACTGTGCAGGCTTCAAAGGAATTCCCCTGTTATCTTCCTGAGTTTACCTCATGTATGTTTCACTGAAAGCAGAGGGGGTGATCATTAGCAACGTGGAATCACAGAGTAGATCACTGGGGGCAAAATATTGTACTTGATTTTTAAAAGAGCAAAGATCTTGGCAAGGATAAAAATGAAAAAGATAATTTTTAGGGGTTTTCATTCATTGCTCTTTAAAGAAGCAGCAGCTTCATCTTCCAGGAATTTTTAATCTTCCCTTCTCCCTAAATCTGTTCTCTGAGCTCTTTAAGACACATTAATCTGCAATGTCCTACTGTCTCTTCTCACATTTCCCAGTTTAAATTATCTAGGAGAGTTGGCTATAGTTATTCACCATCTTTACAAATTCATGATCTTACTAAAAAGGGTGTTACTGAAACTGCTGACCTCTTTCATCCCCACATCTTACAACAACACACTCCTGACAGCTGTATTAGCAAAATTGTAAATCCAGTAAAGAAGTTATTAATATGGAAAGGTCAGTACATGTCAAAAATGCTAAAGTGTGGATAACTGACAGAAAATTACAGTTTGGGAACTGCTTGGAAGAAGGTAAGAGATCCTATGACTGGATCAAGACAGTTGAAATTTTGAAAATTTATTTAATGACTTGAATCATTGTGAATCTTTTGGAAATTGATTGAATCATATATGCCTGTTTGAGGGAGTACTTCTACCTCTGTGTTTCTTCTTTCTCAAGAACAGACTCTCTTTCCTTTTTCAGAGACCTTTTTAGTATTTAACTTTTATTTCTTCTTTGTAGAAAATCCACATGGTTTCTGAAAAAACATTATTCTTTACTCCAATATTGGGTTTTTTGAAGGATGAATAAACATGTGAGGAAAGAAACTTCTTGAATCTTAAAAATCACATTGAGTTCTACTTTTAAAATCAGTACTATATATAGGTACACAAAACCATGTAAACATTACTTGTTATAAGAACAGCAGCCAATGGGCATGGTAATTATTTAATAATTTTTTTTGAACAAATCATTTTTAATTTTAGTAAAAAAAAAAAAGCAAAGATGAAAGTGTATTTCCCTGAGTGACATAAATTAACAACTGTTGATTCCAAAAATATAACTGTGTCTGCTCCTATTTAACATTCTTAATTATCTGAAAGATGGCTTAGTGAGAACTCCAAATTTTGGTGTCCATGATTTCTTCCAAGTCGTCAGAAGCTAGCTTCTGGTGACAAGCTTCAGAATCTCATAAGGTAATTAGAATGTTACTATTATATTTGGATCATTGCCTTTTCACATTAATTTCTGATTTGTTCTTTAGAATAATCATTTGAAATTTGTTTATATAGGCAAGATAATGATTTGTTGCTTCTTACATATAAACAGACAGTCTGAGAAGCAAAAGGATTTCCCCAAGTTTATTTAACCTGTAGGTGAAAGAGTTTGGATTAAAACAAAGGATGTTTCACTTCTAGTCCAACGCTGCCTAACACAACAAAGGCATCAGAAACCAAATAAATGCATCAGTTCACAAAGGATTTAGATAAATTCTTAGATGTTAGATCCATAACGGTTTATTAAAGGTCATCAGGTGTTCTTAATATACATCTCCTGTTTCTTCAGGGTAATGTCATGGAGGGTAACCATGCAATCCCTTTGCTGTCACTGTCAGAGACGCAATCCTGGTCTCTAGGCTTATTGGCCTGTCCCAGTGAGCCATTTCTCAAGTTCTTATCTTATGGATACAGAAGCATATTACTAGGGAGTGTGAAAGGGAAGTTGACTTTAATCTTAATTGCCTGCATAACAGTATTTTTAAAATGATCTCACTCTATAAAATATTAAACCCTACCACTACCATAGAAGTCAGGAATCCTGAAGCAGAGCAAAGGTTATTAGAAAAGAAAAGTCAAGCTTGCAACAACCACACCTTCTATTTCTCTGAATTTGTCATCAAAATACAG